TGTAGATCTCATGAATGAGATCCCCTATTGCAGATGATGCCAAATTTACAGAGACTGAGTAAGCAGTTATCTGTCAAAACAATTAGCTTCTTACTGATTTTGCCATAACCACACTTGCAGATTAGTTCATTTACTGACTTTAAATTTGGGTACTCCCATGCAACACTGGGTTCCGCAACGCTCAGCATGTTAATTGAAGCCTTGCTGCACTTAGCAAAGGCGCCATTGAAGATCTGGCGAAGGCGAAGAGCTGCAACACCTTTCGGACCTTTGGGCTCACACCATTGATTCTTCTGATCCTGATGACAGCGAACATTAATTTGGGTTCTGTAGGTACATAGAAGTGGCTGGTTTTTCTCACCACCCTGGCCATGTGACTGTCAGTTTTGTATATCTGCTTACATTCCTATGATGGTGCTTAGCTTTTTCCTAGATAGGCTTCCTCCTTGTCGTGTGTGTGTATGTGTGTTGTGTGATTTTTTCATAGGTTTTACTAGCTCTTTTTTTTTTTATAACATTCAATTACTGTGCACCATTATAGCATACCAAATAAATTTTCCCAAATGTCCATAAACAGATGAATGGATTGAAAAAGTGTGGCAAATATACATTATGAAATACTACTCAGCCATAAAAAACAAGACCCTAGCATTTGGTAGAAAGTGGGCAAACACAGATTTACTGCTAAGTGAAGCAAGTCAGATTACAAAAGAGTTATTGTATGTCACTCCTTGTCTCTTGAGGCATCTTTGAGCAAACTTCTTTCTCAGGCGCTTGATCTTCAGCTCCGCAAAATACCTTATCTTTTTCTTCAGGATTTCTAGCACAGCAGGAACCTTTTCCTTGATGGCTTCTGCCACAACAGAAACCTTCTTTTTCTTCAACACCCTCCATGGGTCCATCCCCAAAAAGAGCCAAGACTGATTTTTTATCATAATGATGTTTTATTCAACATAATAAGATTTGCACAGTAAAGCAGAGAGTTGTAAATGTACATAAGCTATTCATTTTTTAAGGTTAAAACAATTATAGTCCATATATTAATTCAAATGTTGATTTTTAACTATATATATACACATATATATGTGTGTGTGTGTATATATGTATATATATATATATATATATATGTATATAGTTACACTCATATAAGTAGTTTTACATACTACTACAAGTTGGAAAACAAACCTAATATATTAAATAAGCAAAAATATTTAAAAGCACTTAGAAGATCTCTATTGCCCTCCCCTCGGTCAGACCTACAAATATTTACAATTTTTATTTAAATGCATATGTTTCTTCTCATAGAAAATAAACATTCAATTTATTTTTAAAATTTATTTTATTTTTTATTGTTTTGACTGGTCCCAATTTATCTGGGCCACCCCAGGATGCCCCAGGCCTAGAAAAAGGTGTTGGGCCTCTTGGTGGTGAAATGAGGCTTGTGGTGCCATCACAAGAACCATTAGGGCAGCAGGAACTTGATCTTGGAGTTGTGGATCTGCTTGACTGCCAGCCAGCCGCACTTGCTGGCGCTGATCTCCTCCTCCTTCACGATCTGGATGGAGTAGGAGTAGACACTGGTGTGGTGCCAGTCGCCCAAGTCACTGTACTACTGGGTGAGGGCGCCAGTCGTGGTCAGGTCCAGGTACTAGCGTACACGTTATAAGTGCCACTTCAAGAGTCGTAGAATGGCCAGATACAGAAGTTCTTGACACGCAGAGAGGACTTCTCAAACACCTGCCCGCAGTAGACATCTCCTCTGACTACTCCATCTTCTTCAGCTGGGATACAAAGTACCGGAAGCCGGACTTGGCAACCATGTGGTTAGGGGTGAAGATGCTCATGCGGTAGAGGGGCAGTGTGCTGCATTTGGAGGTGGGCAAGCCGTGCCCACCTTGTGCTCTTGGTGCATCCCCAAGGCCTTCATGGTGCTCTCTCTACTCTCGCTGCCACTGGCGAAACCCCGTCACTCAATTTAGATGCAATACTGTTTTTATTGCACAAGATGTGTGACAAGATAGTGAAAGAGCTCCTTAAAGTCAACTTGTCTAGAGCCTTATTTAATCATTGGACATGACAAATTCTGGGAAATTAACTTCTACTAAGGAACCAGTTACTTTACCCTCCCTGCCACATGACAGTCTACTACAATATTACATTACATTTTATCACTGGTCCCTGGTTGAATAAAGCATTCATATTAAAATTCAGTGGATTCAGGGATAGATGGTAGCAGTAAAATGTGCTACTCTACAAAGCAGACCTACATGGGAAGGTTACTGATTTGCCTTGTACATCCTTGAGTACACTGACGTGTGTGTATCCATGATCTGAGCTGGCTAAAGCTGGGGGTGGATCGCAGCACCAAGGCCCTGCTGGAGATGCTGTAGCTCTCTCTCTCTATCGCTGTCTCTTACTCAGGGAATAAACTTAAATCATTTAAAAACTTTTTGGTGAAATGGATTTAAAGAAGAAGAGCAAGCATAACCAAGAACAATAGAAAGTTTTGTTTGCATGTTTTCTTTTTTCTTTTGAGTGGCTCCTTAGCAGCTATCAATTTATACCAAAAGGACAACGTGAGGTTTAATTTTGCAAAGCTCCTGATAAAAACACTAATGGATTTTGTATTCCTATATTATTCAGATATTTGTAGACACTTTTCCTTTATCTTGACAGTTTTCTTTTCCTACCTCCATAATGTTAGTACCACAAAGAACTTTATTATATTTACTGCTGTTTAGTTTTACTTTACTGTGTAATGGCATCTGATTTTTTGCTTTAATATATTTACTTGATTTACTTGATTATATCCCCTGTAATGACCTAAGATCAGATTTTTATCCAGTTGTCCATGGATCATCTATATCATAGACACATCAAAATTAATGTGCAGAATTGAAATAACTTCCCTTCTAAAACTCTTATATTATGTTTTTTCCCACATATTTCCCTGTCTTGATCTTGTATCTTTATTTATCAGAAAATTAATCTGAACATCACTATTAATATTTTCTTCCTTCTCAAACTTCTTTCCTGCTATAACACTTTCAGCTGATGAATCAGTCCTATTGGTTCTTCTTTTTAAATATTCACTTAAAAAGTATTTTTCAACTAATAGGGTTTGGAGAATCACAATGGAAGCTCTGAGGAGGACAAGTATATTAAATATTTTGGAACAGGAATGGGATCAGGATTAACACCTGCATTTGAAAAGCCTCTTGACAACAAGATAGATTGATGGAATGGGGAGGTGTAGTGTTATTGGTTGAAGATATTTTGATCAACGGGACTGAGGAGAAATGTTCACATATTGAAATGCTCACATTGTAAGCTAAACAATGTGATTGAATGTATATAAAAACTTAAAATAAATAAATAATAAAAAATTAATGATAAGTGCTGGTGAGGCTGTGGTGAAAATGGAACTTTCTTACACTGTTGCTAGGAATGTAAATTAGTACAGTCAATGTGGAGAACAATATGGAAGTTCCTGAAAAACCTACAGTAGTATTACCATACTATCCAGTAATCCCAGTCCTGAGTATCTACCCAAAAGATAGGAATACACTTGACTGGAAAAACACTTGCACATCCATGTTTATTGCAGCATTATTTACAATGATTAAGACATGCAATCAGATGAATAGATTGAAAAAGTGTGGCACATATACACAATGGAATACTATTCAGCCATAAAAAATGAGACCCTGGCATTTGGTAGAAGATGGTTAAATATGGAAGACATAATGCTAAGTGAAGCAAACCAGATCATGAAAGAGAGGCATTGTATATCCTCTCTTATTATATACTGAATGTCTGCACTCTATGGCCAAAACTGAAAGTGGGAGGTATAAAAGCATAGAGAGCAAATGTGCATACAAAAGACAGTGTGGGGCGGGGATGGGCAATGGCAGGGTGGGCAGGAGGGAATCAAGAGGGAACAAAGGAAAACATTTAAGGAATAAAAAAATGGAAAATTATCTGTTGATGATAATGTGTTTAGTAATATTTTTAACTGGACTAATATACAGTATTCATGCTGGGAAAATTCACTGTGTGTGCTGTAAAGATGTACGGTGATGGGACCAGCAGTTAGCATAATGGCTATGTAGCTGAACTCCCATGTAGCTGACTGTGGTTCGAGTCTCGGACCTGGTGGCTTAAACTCATGCCAGGCACATGTGCGTGCATGCCCAAGATCCTGAGAGGAGAATGGAGGAGAAGGGATTGCGGCATGGCCATCCCCCCTGGGGGGTGATTTTTCACTTTCTATCTCTCTGTCTCTCTCTGTCTTACTGGCGGGCGAGCGCAGACACCGTATAGCAAAAACCTCTCCAAAAAAATGTAAAAGTACAATCTATGAAAGAAAAACATCTGGGAATTGTAGAAAAAGAAAGAATAATCTACAAAATGAAAAATACATTAAAGGTGTTTGGCAGCAAATTAGACAGGGAGAATCCTGGATTTTTGAACTGGGAGACTCTTCAATTGTAAATCTCTAAATTAAAGACAAGAGGGCAGTAAACTTAAAGAAAAAAACATAGTGGGGGGTGGTTCATGAGAAAATTTGTAATGGAAACAAGAATGCATGTAAATTAGGGAAAAAGGCTGTGGGATGGTATGTCATAGCTGAGTAAAAAATATGTACAGTTTAATAATACATACGCAGAAAAGCCCTGCTAGCATTATTAACAAATGTGTACAACATAATGTAATATTTAATGGGTATATTCATGATTTGATTCTGTGTGCATACCTTAATAACCATACTTGGGCCAGAGGCATGGTTGTTGATTTCTGTCTTTGTCTTTCTATATTTTCAACTTCTCTCTGTCATTATGCATTAGTTAAGCCTACTGTAAAATCATAGATTTGAGAGTAGTTTGTGTTTGTATAAGTAGCAGTCAATTGCTTTGCTATGAGGTGTGTGTACTTGCTGGAGAGAAACAGAGAGAAAGAGAAAGTGAGAAATTACCCCGTGGAGGGATGGCCATGCTGAAATCCCTTCCTCTCCATTCTCCTTTCAGTATCTTGGCATACATACATGTGCCTGGTGTGATTAAGCCACTGGTTCATGGGACCTGAACCACTGAGGCAGCTTTGTGAGATCCAGTGCTTTAACCTCCATACTACCTGCTATCCCAGAGAGCAGTTATGTTTTACTGACATGTTTCACGACTGATAAATACAACATTTAATTATTGATACAGGTTTACCTCTACTTTCAGAGAGTTATTTCCATTTTACCATGTAAATTATTGTTTTTTAAATTGGTGTTAATCCAGTTATTCTTTTAATCTGTTACTCCTAATTACACTTCCATCTTTTATTTTGAATGAGCAGAGTTTGTGCATGAGCTACAAATGTAATAAAAATCTGAATATCCAGTAGCAGTTTATTCAACTCTCCCAGGACAATTATTTGACTATGTGTGAAACTGTGGGTCAACGGTTATTTTCTTCTGAGATATTAGCATACTGGTCCACTGTATTCTTTCTATCTCAAATTCCGGATAAGATTATTCTTCTTCATTCTCAGAACTAGCTGAGGACTCTGTCAAAGAAATAAAATTTAATCAAGGTTTTGTAAATTTACATCTTAATAAAGGCTAATAATTGAGATAAAAACATGTTTGAAAATATATTGATTTCCTTTGAGGTGCCAAGAACATTTTTGGAAAAGCCATGAGAAACACTTTTATTTAAAAATTAATTAACTTGAATTTTTCTAGTTTACATTATTGAGGGAAAAGAATTCTGGGAAGAAGCCTGCAAGGAAAAAAGACATTTGAGAAAGGACCTTGTTTTAATTTGCATATTATCTCAATGCAGTTGAAATACATGAATACTCTGTTGAAACTGTAATCCAGAAGATTCCTTCTCTCTCACTCTTTCTCATCCTCTATCCATAACTTAGATACTAGTAAATCATTATAGGTCGTGTTTGTTTACTTGAAAAGGCTATTGCACAATACAACTGTGTTTATATCTCAAGACATAATGGAAGTTGCTGTGGTTTGTGGATTTGTGTTTAAGTTATTTTCTAAATATTACTATTCATCCACTTGACCTGGAACTTCAAAAATAGTGAAATACAGGAGACTCAGAATTGGCAAAATCAACTTTTGAACACATGGAAGGAGCCAAACTCATCCTGTGAGAAAGTAGAGAATGCTCTTACTAAAAAGAGATGGGATTCATTCTGGTACACCAATACAAACTCAGATACACTGAAAAAAATGTTAAGAAAAATGGTAGGAGACATACAAATTTGGGGAAATCTTTTGGCATTGTAAAATAAAATTGGTGATTGTAGGAGGTCTTTTTAAAAATTAGTATTTAAAAGTTTAACAGCTGGGCTGGCTCAGTGGTGTGACAATGACTTGCTGCTCAAGTGATGCTCAGTGGTGTGACAATGACTTGCTGCTCAAGTGATGCTGGATCCATGTAAGTCCAAGAGTTTAGTTTCCTGGGTTACCTGTGCATGCCAGGATTGTACTCATGAGGCTGGCTAGCTGGGAGGTTAGGGGAGGGAACTGAAGCATGGCACCCTGTTAAAGGTACTTCTCTCTCACTATCTCTGTCTCGCTCTGTCTCTTACTCTACAAAAGAAAGAAATAAACTTTAAAAGTTATTAACAAGTAATTTTGAACATTTCATTATGAAGTAAATGTTGACCAATTTTAGTTTTCGCTATGTTAGTGTAAGGTGGTTGCTGTAAAACCATAATATTGGCAATGTGAAATACATTGATTGTAGATTGCTGGTATAGCACCAGAATCAAGTATTAAATTTTTCTTCCTGGGTGGTTAGTTCCACATTCTCTTTCACTTTTTAAAAAATGGAAATTTGAAAAGTTTATTTGGTCCATTGTTGTCTTTAAAAAAGTTTCTTTATGAGAGAAAAAAATTGTGCATAGGTATATATGCATGAAAGAGAGTTCTGATCCTCTTTCCCAAGGCCTCCAGCTCCTCAGAACCTTGGGTGCACATGCCCAGGGTGTTTCGTATTGACTCGAGATTTGAAGCTGCAGTTGGCCAAGTGGCTTCCAGCACTTCAGGTCAGTATGCCATTTTATTCCACCAAACCTGGGCCTCCATCTATTTTTTTTTAAAGGAAATTTTACTTGTACAATAAAACCAGGGATTTTATCTTTGGGAATGAGCTAGGGAAAGCTTCAGAGATATTTGCCCTCCTATGAGCATCGGTTCAGACATCTTCCTACTCCAACCCTGTGGACACTGACACATTTCTAAAATAGAAAAGTATGATAAGCATAACATCAGTTTCAGTTCTCCCTTTAAGATTAAAAGAAAAAAACCATGTAAGCCTTACAAGGAGTTTACTATACAGAAAGCTTTGGCAAATGCTTTTGGGTGAAACTTAGCTGAGCCTTCCATGTTTACCTGAGAAAGTTGTCACAATTGTACAGGCAGAGCTGAGACTGTCCTTGGTATTCAAGGCACTACTTACACTGGCAGTGATAGAAATCCGAGGAGTCTCAAGAAGGCTATGATCAGGAAACACTTCTAGAAGACCCAGGCTTCTGTTTCTTCCTCTAGTTATTCAGGCATAAGGACAATAATGGTCTCTCTCTGGACATCTGGAGATCAATCAGGTCAACTCAATGCCCTTTAAGTTTCCACTCTCCCATATCATTTACCTCTGATTTTGGAGTAGACAAAGGAAATGATCATAGTGATAAAGGCCATCAACACACACAGGAGCACGGTCATATCTTCCAACCACATAATATCCAACTGGAAGTGTGGATCTGAAGTGGGGACTGGGGGGACATAAAAAAATTAGAAAGTGTATAGCAGAGAAGGAAGGTGAATTACAGTTTATGATAGATTGACTTTTTAGGATCCTGCTGCTCTATACCTTCTGGGTTTACGTGAGATGGTGCATGTGAGTGGCAGGAGAAGAAGTAGGTTAGGCTATGTGGATGAACCTTGAGATGAGCACATTTGGGTTAAGGTTGAAAGAGGGCTATGAGAAGGCAGATACATACTTTTCTACTCAAGCAACATGGCTCTTGCTGTGGCTGGCCAGGTCTGAAGGACAGATAGATACATTACGCTTTCATCTATTTTATTTGGTGCTGGGAATTCCAGGCCTTATAAGACATATGGTGAAACAGGATTGTCTGAGATAGCAGAATCTCTGATGTGGGAGAGATCTTATAATTCTCAAAAGTCACATTCTCATTTGGAGCAGAAATCTCTTTTAGAGTGTCTTTTCTGGATGATTCTAAGGTATAAAACATCCTCACTCATAATACTGGATAATATGTCTTGTGATGGCAATACCATTGGCACACACGCCTGGCATGAGTTTAAGCCACCGGGTCCGGGACTTGAACCATGGTTGACTACATGGGAGTCCAGCGACATAGCCATTACGCCAACTGCTGGTTCTGAAAATCTTGTTTATAACTCAGGGTGATTCTTAACACATAAGGAGCCTACAAAACTTAATAAATAAATAAATAAGTAAACAAACAAACCCAGGTAAGTCGTGAGGAAGAGGACAAACCAGACTTCTAAGATTACTATATTATTAGATTAAAATGTCCAGGTTCATCAACAAAATCACAAGGAATATCAAAAACAACGAAGTATGACTCAGTCAAAAGAGAAAAGATAATGATTCTATTAATTATAGAAACTGTTTCTAAAAAAAAAATCTAAAAACTGACCTACTAGACACTGACTTTAAAATGACTTTTTTAGATATGCAATAAATAAATAAATAAATAAATAAAGATGTGTTAAAAGTCAAGAATATAATACATGAACAGGGACCAGCAGTTGGCATAATGGCTATGTTGCTGGACTCCCATGTAGTCGACTGAGGTTCGAGTCCTGGACCTGGTGGCTTAAACTCATGCCAGGTGCGTGTGAGTGCATGCCCAAGATCCTGAGAAGAGAATGGAGGAGAAGGGATTGTGGCACAGCTATCTCCCCTGGGGGGTGATTTCTCACTTTCTCTCTCTCTCTCTCTTTCTGGTGAGCGCACAGTCCTATAGCAAAAACCTCTCAAAAAAGAAAAAAATATACATGAACAAAATAGAAATACCAGTAAAGAGATGGAAATCTAAAAAGAGATATTCTGCAACTGAAAAACATAATAACTGATATGAAAAATTAACTGGAGAGATTCAAGGCTGATCTGAGCAGGAAGAAGAAATAATTAGGGAACTTAACAGTATAACATGGAAATAACTGAGTTTGAAAACAAAAAAGAAAAACAAAAGAAGAAAAATTAACAAGTATTGGTGAGTATAGTAAGAAATTAGAACCCTTACATGCTGTTAGTGGGAATGTAAAATGCACATGACAAGTGACTCAAATTTAGGACATATTAATATTGTCCCTCACTTTTTTTTTTTTTGAGAGGATTTTTTCACTATAGGGCACGTGCGCTTGCCAGACAGACAGAGAGACATAGAGACAGAAAGCGAGAAATCACCCCCCAGGGGGGATGGTCACGCTGCAATCCCTTCTCCTCCATTCTCCTCTCGGGATCTTGGGCACGCACGCACACGCGCCCGGCATGAGTTTTAAGCCACCGGGTATGGGACGCGAACCGCGGTTGACTACGTGGGAGTCCAGCGACATAGCCATTACGCAAACTGCTGGTTCCCGTCCCTCACTTTTCACAAGGGAGCTATGACTAAACATCTCTTCCTTTTTCAATTATTGGGTCATCAAATGCGTCATGACTTTTCAATAACCCAGTGTTTTTTTTTTTTTCATGAAGAATTATATATGGAAATTGTTAAAATACAGATTTTAAGAGTCTGAGTGCCTGAATTGGGAGCCTGGCTCTCACATTTACTGTGTCATCTTGGATAAACTACTTAACTTTTTTGTATACCAGAATTTTCTTTTTCCTTTTTTTGGAGAGTTTTTTGCTATAAGGCGCGTGCGCTCACCAGAGAGAGAGAGACAGAGAGACAGAAAGCGAGAAATCACCTCCCAGGGGGGATGGCCACGCCGCAATCCCTTCTCCTCCATTCTCCTCTCGGGATCTTGGGCACGAATGCACACGCGTCCAGCGTGAGTTTAAGCCACCGGGTCCTGGACTTGAACTGTTGTCAACTACGTGTCAGTCCAGCTACATAGCCATTATGCTAACTGCTGGTCCCTGTATACCAGAATTTATCAACTGTAAAATACATTCCACTAAAGATTGAATATATTAACCTACATAAAATCGATAGAGCACATAATAAGCATTTAATGCATATTATCTACATTATATCTTCTTGTTCTTTTTCTTATAGTACTGATGGATGTGTCATTTAGTCTATTTCCACAGTTAATATGTACGTCTCGGGTATGTACTTTTTTGGAATAAGATATAAAAGGCACATTGACTGTGGCTTGGTTTAAGGTCACTGTGTTTTCATTTCATAGGAGAAAATTAATTTTAAAAATTCTCTGAAGAGTCTAGTCCTATTTTATGACCTCTCCTTTGTGAATTTATTTTTGTCTAGAGTTCCAGCTTATATTAAAGAATTACTTTGTTTTCTTGATCATTGTCTTTTATGTACAATTTCCATGGGGACCCCAAAGATAGAACTGAGTGTACATTTCAAATATATCGGGTTGAGCTATAATAAACTCTCACAATTTCCATTTTAATGCACCCTCCAAGAGACCAAAAGAGAAGGATCATTTTCAACAGTCCATGCACACCATGAAATTTAGCAAGATTTGTGTGGACATATTAATTATTTCGAGATGCCAATCCTCTGCTTTTCATTAATTTCTGAAAGAAATCTATGACTCAAAAAGCTTAAGATATACTGAATTATTACCTATATTAGGTTAAAAATGTGGAAATTATCAGCATATTTTAAGTTAAGTGATGGCTAGTTTTGTTTGTTTATTTATTTCCTCTCTCTAGAAGCAAAAGCGTCAGCAGTTTGTATCATTAGCCTATAAAACTCAGGAGGCTGGAATTCAAACCCCAGTCTAATTCTTTATTGCCCCTATAGTTTAAACAAATATCACTCCTCTTTGGTTAACTGTCTTATCAGAGATTGGGCATTTGGGAAAGGAGATATATTCAGAAAGTGCTTATATTCTTGATCCCACATACCTCTTTTTTTGAACTGCAAATAGGAAATGAGTCCTGCAATTATACCCACTGAGCTGATGGCTATCAATGGGTTCACTATGATAGGACTTATCTTCTTACAGGAGCAAACTGATTGACAACAGTTATGGGGGCGATCTGAGGAAAAATAGATATAAACATTGGTTATTAGTATAGAGGCACTTCAGATTGGGGGGAAATGTGCCAACAAACCAAAAGCTGGGGACATCCTGGTGGTTAAGGTGGCTGGATCACATGGCCCGCTGCAAGGTTCAAGTCTTGGTCCTGGCAGCTTTAGAAACATATCAGGTGCATGTGTGTGCACCCAGGATCCTGAAAGAAGGGAGTAGCGGAGAAGAGATTGAGGTGTGACCGTGTCCCATGCGAGGGTGGAAGTGCTTTCTCTCTCTCTCTCTTTGGCAAGCACATACACACTCTGGCAAATTTTTAAAAGATAATAAAACAAGAGTTATGTTTTGATGCCAGCCTCTTGTGTTCATTTTGAGTTGGACTAAGGCTTGGGTTTGAAGGATCAGAGAGGTGTTGGTGACAGGGACAAATAGCAGAGTGGGACTGGGCAGTTTTCAGCCTGGAGGAAAACAACTTTTTTTCCTCATCTACCCAATCAATCAATGGGGCTCAGCAGAGAGCAGGAGAGAGTTATGAATTGGCCATTACATTTTGTTTGGGTTTGAAAGAGGCTGGGATAATTTCAGAGACTTCTGAACTACATTAGAGATCATAAAAGCGTTGACCACAAGAATCTCATGAGTGAAAGAGTCTTCAGTTAACATATTTTTACAATCTTATTTGGTATATCACATGGGGGAGGTTCAAAAAGTTCAAGGAAAATGTGCATTATTATGGAAAAATCTATGGATAGATTTCTAATTTCTTTGCACCAAAATAAATTCATACTTTGATTTCATTTTCCTGTGGACTTTCTGATGTTGTCTCACAGCAGCATCATCTGGCTCCCTCATCTCTCCTTGAAAAATAGGCGGCTTTGATGTGGAGTCTTGCAGCTAGACATTATGCCCATTTTTGTATTGAAAAGGTATAGATCCCATTTAACTTTGTGTTTAGAATATGCAATACAAATGTCCATACAGCTTGTATTAATTCTTGTTTCCTACCATTATTAGCTGTATAATTTTAGGAGGGATACTTAACTTTAAATTTCATTAGACGGAAAATCAGGTAGCAATAATATAAACCCAAAGTGTATTATGCAGGTTGAAGGCATTAATAACAGTAAATTCCTAGGTATAGCATTTGTTTGTATTAAGAATTCAATAAATGTTAGCCTCTTATGATAATACTTACTATAAAATTTACTCTGCCTCCTGAAAAAAATCCATCCCAAATTATTCAAAAACACCTTCTAAATGAAGTTGAACACAATATTAGGGGCACAAATAGTGTCGATGAGGGACAGTTAAATAACGGGAGACAATAAGATTGGCTAAGGTCAATTTAGAAAAGTCTCTGACTACAAATCTCTGAAGAGTTAACTGAGAAGAGACAATTGTTATATGTATGCTCTTAGAAGGGTCAATAAAGTGTAAGATACAAAAGACATTTCTGTAAGTTACTTGAAAAATATACTGGGCACATGTGCATGTGTGCCCAAAATCCCCAAAGGAGGGAGAAATGGAGGAAAAGAGATTGTGGCATGGCCATCCCCCCTAGGGGGGAGGGTGCTTTCTCTCTCTCTCTCTCTTTCTTAAGTACACATGCCCTACAGCAAATGATTTAAGAACAAAAAAGAAGTGATTAAGAAGATAATTTATATTAAAAAAATACAAACCTTAAAACTGGGTAGTGTCAATAAGCAAACAAAATTTAAAGAGTTTATTTTTAAAAAAGAGCAACTAAAAAGGTGAAAAATTTATGACTTTCTGGTGTGAGGATTTTCCCCAAAGCTTACAGCTATAGAGATGGAAAATAGCAACTCTCTGGGTCAAATAACAAAGCCAGGTCAGAAGAACACCTAAGAATGTAAAGGAAGAAATCCAGGAAGTTGAAAGAAGGATAGAAGGACTGAGATCTGAATCTTTAGCTGACAGCTGACCTACAAATATGGGAGAAGATACTAGGGGGTCTGGTGAAAAAGCAAGAAGAGATCACAGAAGCATCTACTCTCAAAAGACAGAGCAATACTAGAAGGTATCTATGACTTTAAAGTCTTAAAATGAAATACATCCCCAAATCATTAAGAGTTACTGTTAGGTGTGTCTTAAATTGATTTTGGAAATCCTTAAGTCCACTCCCCTCATCTCCAATATAGCACAATTGAGAATATATGAAAATGTTTTTTCTTCTAGGAAAAGTAAAACACCAGGTATTGCAACTAATCTAACTCCCCCTGCGGATGATGCTGTGGACCGTTAAGTGACCTTAGTCATTTCTGCTATGTGTAGTTAGGACTTCATTAGCTGTCCCTGTTTGGGTCTTTATGCCCATTTAGAAACTAAGTGAGAAATATCTATAAATGGTGTTAAATGTTAAAAGAATTTTCCCAGTTCGTTTGGAAACCTATCACTATAGGAAAAATGGTTGTGGTAAAGAACTCAGGCTTTCAGATAAACAGCATTCTCAGCAGCTCCAGAGGAAGAGAAAACTATCTAGGACCAAGAAACAGGTGGAGGGTACATGTCTAATACATACCTCAAAGTTCCTGAAGCAGACAGGCTTGAGAATCAAAGGTCAGGCAGCTTTAGCTCTCCCCTCTCCCATTGTGCATCACCCACCCTTCAAACTTACTTACGTCTCTGTCTGAAATATAATTCAATGCTGGGAATCACAATAAAGATTGTTGATGTAAACAGAATTAAAATCAGAATCAGTGTCCAAATGATGTTCCATGGAAAAAGTTTATCTGAAACAGAGAGTCACAAATGTTACAACTTAGGAAACTCAAACTGTTTTAACTCACTGAACAAGGAATGAGGACTCATCCAAAACATGTGTTCACTCAAGACTTGATCATCCTGGAATATTAGATCTAAGTCAGTTAGACTGCTCTCCCTGTCAATGCCAGACCCCACGTATACATTAGAAAATTCAGAGCTGCACCTACACTGACAGTTTACAATGGGTCTGAAGGGTTGAGTTTGCACCAACCAGAGAGGACATTGGGAGATGAGGTCAGGTGGGAAATGGGGCTCAGAAAATGCAGGACATCGTGAGACATTTTACTCTGAGTAAAATGGGAACAATCTCAGGGTCTTGAACAAATGGTACAGTTATGTCTTATTAAACATAAAGGGATTTCACTGGGCTTCCTATCTACATGTTGAATATATAGCATAGTATAACATACAAGACTAGAAGTAGGAGAACTTTTAGGATGCTATTCTCAAAGCGTAGATCATGGGTGATGTTGTCTCAGATCTGGATGATAGGAGTAAAGTAGTGGGAAGAGATGGGACTATGGGTATATTTTTAAGTTAGAGCTATCATTATTTTTTTCCTATATAGCAAGCACACTCACCAGAGAGAGAGAAAGAGAGAGTGAGAAATCATCCTCCAAGAAAGATGACCATGCTGCAATCCCTGCTCCTCCATGCTCCTCTCAGAATTTTGGACATGCACACACATACACTTGGCATGATTTTCAAGTCATAGGCTCCAGGACTTGAACCACACAGTGGGCCATGTGGGATGGTCCACCGATAGATGCATTGCAAAATTTGAGAGAAAAAATGGGAATCAAGAATGACTTCAAAGATTTCATCCTAAGAAAATAAAATTATAAAGTGTGATTGTAAAGGTAGCACATTAATCAAGTTGAGGGTAATTTGGAGTTTAGTTTTTAATGTGCTTGGTTTGGAATATTTTAGACTTTTATGTTGAGATGTTAGGTTTGGAAATGAAAACAGAGTTTGGGAGACAGTTCTGGGAAGGAGATACAATTTGAAGAGCTATCATAATATTGATGGTATTTAAGGTCATGAGACAAATAAAGTCACAAGAGAGAAAAGAGTGAAGAACTATGCCCCAGGGGCCAGCATATGGCATAATGGTTATGTCACTGGACTCCTGTGTAGTCGACCACGGTTCGAGTCCTGAACCCATTGACTTAAAACTCATGCTGGGTGCATGTGTGTGCATGCCCAAAGTCCTGAGAGGAGAATAAAGGAGAAGGGATTGTGGTGTGGCCATCCCCTTGGGGGTGACTTCTCACTTTCTTTCTTTCTGTCTCTCTCTGCCTCTCTGACAAATACACGTGCCCTATAGCAAACTTTCTAAAAAGAAAAAATTTCAGAAAAGAGAATAAGAGAGAAAATAAACAAGATGAAGAATAAAACCAAAAGGAAACAATGTCTTAGAAACCAAATGAAGAAAGTATATTACTTTTTTCTTTAGCTTATATATCTTAGCTTATATATCATGTGGCAATAACTACTGTTTGAAAAAAAAACACAGAGATCTCACTTGAAAGAACAATGCTTGTCCTTTGCTCTTGACCAGTCACAGGGTTTCGAAGGTAGCAAGTGACATTTCCATGGGAACTATCTCTAAGGAGAAGGGTCATCTTCATGTTAAATAATTTGTTTTCATCCTGTGAATGGGTTGTTGATGCAGGTGGAATGATCTCTCCTCTGCTGTCTCTCACTGGACTCCTGTGTAGTCGACCACGGTTCGAGTCCTGAACCCATTGACTTAAAACTCATGCTGGGTGCATGTGTGTGCATGCCCAAAGTCCTGAGAGGAGAATAAAGGAGAAGGGATTGTGGTGTGGCCATCCCCTTGGGGGTGACTTCTCACTTTCTTTCTTTCTGTCTCTCTCTGCCTCTCTGACAAATACACGTGCCCTATAGCAAACTTTCTAAAAAGAAAAAATTTCAGAAAAGAGAATAAGAGAGAAAATAAACAAGATGAAGAATAAAACCAAAAGGAAACAATGTCTTAGAAACCAAATGAAGAAAGTATATTACTTTTTTCTTTAGCTTATATATCTTAGCTTATATATCATGTGGCAATAACTACTGTTTGAAAAAAAAACACAGAGATCTCACTTGAAAGAACAATGCTTGTCCTTTGCTCTTGACCAGTCACAGGGTTTCGAAGGTAGCAAGTGACATTTCCATGGGAACTATCTCTAAGGAGAAGGGTCATCTTCATGTTAAATAATTTGTTTTCATCCTGTGAATGGGTTGTTGATGCAGGTGGAATGATCTCTCCTCTGCTGTCTCTCCACTCCATTTGAGGCTGTGGGAACCACCCTCCTGAATCACATTCCACTAGAAGACCTTTGGTGTTAGGAGGATGCATATGAATCTGTATTTCTAAGCTTGTAGCTGGTTGGAAAGAAAAGAGAAAAATGACATTTTTTAGGTAATGGGAAGGGAAAACAGAACAGAGAAAAAAAAATCCCTTCATTCCCCACTTTAACCCCTGTCACCTTCGATATATTGATAGTCAAGCTCTGTGGGGATGATTGCCATGACAACTAGTCAAAGGGAAAGAAAGAAAAGCCAGGCTGAATGGCTATGATATATTGTATATATGAACACCTGTTCCTAAATAAGTGAGGTGAATTCGGATTGTTTCATTTATTTACTCATTCACTCAAAAACTTTTATTGGCTAGTTACCAAATCTAGGAGACTGGGTTAGAGTCTTAATCATAACAATGAACAAAAAGCAATGATGATCTCAGTCCTCATGGAATTTATGGCTTACCATTCTATCTTCATCACCTCAGAGGGATGTGTCCTTACCTGTGACTTGCACTTCTGTGACAGCTTCTTCATAGAAATCATCACTGTCTTTGAAGAAGCAGTGGTACTGCCCATTATCCTCAACGCTGACATTAAGGATCCTGAGGGTGACTTTACCCTCTCCAATGGCTTCCTTCAGGAGCTCTGTCCGCTCCACATACTTGGAGATAATTTCTCCATACAGGTCTTTTCCATCCTTGTACAGATGAATAGGTTCTGTGTAGCGGTCCCGGAACCAACGTACCTCCATGTGTTGTGCGCTCTGTGGTGGGAACAGCTGGCAACTGAGCTCAACTACTCCACCCAAGGAGGCCAAGATTGGAACCTCTGAGCCACTTACTGTGAATTGTTCTGAGAATGAGATGGTAACCAAAAGGTGAAAGTATGAGTCAGGACACACTTTATTTGAGTCATATCATCTCTCTCTCTCTCTCACAAACACACTTTATTGACAGCAAATTCTTTTTTTTTTTTCTCCCCCAGAAGACACCTTAATTTTGCACTTGATTTGAATGGTAATGCACCACATTGTTTTTCTCAAGAAATACAAAAGTATGTTTTCCACTGTTGCTTAATAGTCTTCATTCTGTTTAGAAAGCTGCCACCAGAGTGTAATAGTTGTTCTTTTTATCTTTCAACCTGTTCTTTTATTCATTCTATTCTCTTAGGATGTTTTTAAGACTAACTGCATCTTTTTAAATTTTGTTCTTTTTAAAAATTTTTTATACATTCAATCACATTATTTAGCTTACAAAGTGAACACTTCAATATGTGAACATTTCTCCCCAGACTAGTTGATCAAAATATCTTCAACAGATAACACCACCCCTCTCCATCCTGTCAATGCTCTGCCTCCGTATCCCTCCTCCAAATGTCCTTCCTTAGGCCTCTCTCCTCCACAAACACCATATCTGGCATTCACACCCATCTCTTGGGTTTGTACGCATCTCTGTATAAATGTATTCTTTTTTTCTAGCTAAGCTTTATGGTGCTTCTTGAATTGGGTGATTCCTGTTTTTATTCAAGTCTGAAAAATTTTCACCCATAGTGTGTTTAATTTTACCCCTCTTATTTTCTATGTTCTCTTATTACATAAGTCCTATGGTCAACAAAGAAGGTTTCAACTCTCTTAAATATTACCAACAAAATGTCTTAAAGTCCCACTACCTGCTCCTCCAAGTGCCCCCAGGTCAATATGTTTCATTTTAATTAATTAAGTTTTTTTGCATTTTTTTGATACAACTTGGTTTAACAGATATTCTTTCAATTTAAAGATTCAGAAATTCTCATTGTTGATATTTAGTCCTTGACAGAAGTAAAGTGTTAAAATAGCGTGCATTTCGTACTATTTCTGTTCCTTTCTCCACTCAATGAGGAGGGGATGTTAGCTCATCCTCTAATACTCCTTATTTCCCTGACCTGATGGCTATTTTATGTCCCCCAATCACTGCCGTTATGGTGCCACTAGGTAAAGACTATCAAATCAATGTAGGCTTTTCTTACCACCAGGGGCTAAAAAGTCTCAAGTACCAATGTGTGACTAATCAAGTCATATATAAAGTGGCAAAAAAAAATTTTTGTATATAGAAAGAAACACTATTTTAGGTTTCAATTGTTTAGTCCTCATTTTATTACATATTTATATGGTAAGTCTTTGAAAATAAATACTTGAACATTGTTAATGAAGTTAATTTGATTTCCATAAACTCCAATTACACACCTAAAAACACTGACTATTGGAGCCAGGAGATGGTGTGGAAGTTAAGGAACTGGCTTCCCACATCACCAACTGTGGTTTGAGTCCTGGTCCTGGTGGTTTGAAAAATCATGCCAGGCCCATGTGCATGCATGCTCAAAATCCTGAGAAGAGAATGGAGGAGAAGGGATTGCAGTATGTCTATCCCTCCTGGGGGCGGGGAGTGGTGACTTCTCATTTCCCTCTCACTGTATCTCTCTGTCTCGCTCTAGCAAGTTCATGCACCTGACAATGAAAACAAACAAATAAATAAAATGCTGATTATTTTGAGTGTCTAAATGCATATGAAACAAGCAAATTAATCACATTAATTATAAAATTATAATATTTATCTTTATATATTTAAAAATATGATTGTGATGTAGGGCTAAATAATTTTATCATTATTCTCTATTAGTTTTCATATGGAACTGGATATACAATCAGATATATTCTTAACATTGCTTAAAATACATTTTAATAGATGTTCAGACTTAAAACTATCTTACAGAAAACAAACAAAAAGAAAGAAAAATTTTTCTCAAAGGTATAATGGAAAATTCTGGAGTATTTTCTATTAAAACCAACAATACAGCAAACAAAGTCAATGTAGCAACTTGAAGTCACTAATTAAAAATAACTGAATATTTTTATGTTTAAACCTTTTATAGAAAAATTATATAAAAAAGAGTACTGAAAATGAAATATCTCTGTAATACATTAAAATTTATTGTATAAATACAACCTTTTTTAAATCTGAAATTGGCCCATGTGAAGAGAACTCAATGGGACACAGTTTAGAAATTCAGATATATAGGGAAATTTACTTTATGCCAAAGGTGACATTTGAGGTCAGTGGAGGATGATGGGGTATTTTATAAGAGGATATGACTACTGGGTGCTTTCTTTTGAAAAAAAAAATGCCAGATTTCTTTCTCAATATTTATATAAGAAAAAAATTTCTGGAATTAATGCACAAATACAATAAAGTTGCAGGATACAAAATCCATGTACAGAAATCTACAGCATTTCTATATAGGAACAACAGACAGATTGAGATAGGACTAAAAAAAGTTATTCTATTTACCATAGCTGCAAAAAGTATAAGGTACTTAGGAATAAATCTAACCAAAGAAGTTAAAGACCTTCACAAGGAAAACTATGAGAAGCTAAAAAAAGAAATTGAAAATGACACAAAAAAGTGGAAGGACATCCCATGTTCCTGGATTCGAAGAATTAATATAATCAAAATGGCAATTCTACCCAACTTAATCTACACATTTAATGCAATGCCAATCAAAGTACCAGACACATTCTTCACAGATCTAGAAAAGACAATCATAAAATTCATCTAGAATCACAAAAGACCCCATATTGCCAAAGCAATTCTGCAGAAGAAGAGTGGAGTGGGTGGCAACTCACTCCCTGACCCAAAAATATACTACAAAGCTGTGGTAATCAAAACAGCATGGTATGGCACAGAAACAGACATGTGGACCAATGGAACAGAATTGAGTCCCCAGAAATAAATTCCCAAACATACAGTCAACTGATCTTTGACAAAGGTTACTGGTCAATCCAGTGGGAAAAGGAAAACCTCTTCAGCAAATGGTGCTG